TGTGAGCTTTACCCAGATACCCAAGGTGTGTTTACAATCTTAATTGCTATCTTACTTCTAATAACCATTTGTGGTAGTACAATGTAATTCGTCCTATTTATTGGTAAAGGAATTAAGCGGTACATGTCGTACCGGTTTTGAGAGAGGATTGGAACTTTGATATTAAAAACAAGTGTTTTGTTGATTTGTTCCATCAAAAGTAAATTATCTATTTCGATATTTTAATTTTTAAGGATTTGTTTAATTTTTTCGATTTTCCCGAAGTTTAAAATATATTTGGAGATGAATAGAAAGCTCCCATCTCTTTGATTTCCATAAAGTTAAACCAGTCTATTCACCGAGACCCGACGGAGTTCCAGGCTGCGTGCTTAGATACTGCGCTGGAACTTTGTGTAGACCTCTACAAAATTTTTTACCTTGTTTTTGAAAACTTCTCATTTTCCACTTTTTTTTGAAGGAGTCATTTGTTATTCCCCTTCATAAGAAAGGAAATAAATCGAATACAATATTTCAGAGGTATATCCAAATTGTCTGCCATCCCAAAGCTTTTCGATGTCAACATGGATTTATATCTTGGAGCTCTTTCTCTAATTTGATCCGAGCCCACTTCTTTTTACATTATTTAGGTCAGACTTACAATCGGACTTAAATGCTTTTCAATCATGGTGTTGTAAAAATCGATTGGATTTAAATAGCGCAAAGTGTAAAGTAATGACATTTTTCGGGTGAAACCACGATACTCTTGGTGGTGGCTTGACGTTGGCGTCCTCCTTGACCCAAAACTTAAGTTCTTTGAATAAATTCCATGGTGTTTCCTATGTTACAAAGACTCTGTTCATTTCGCTAGTCCGTCCAATCCTGGAGAACTGCCTATCAGTTTGGAGTCTTCAGTATGGTGTAGATATAGACCGAATAGAGTCTGTGCAAAATAACTTTTTATTATTTGCTCTACGGGGCCGTAACTGGAATGCAAGCCTTTTTTTTACCATTTTAAGCTAGTAGACTTCTTCGATTAATCAACCATCCTTCTCAAACGGTAGAATGATGCTTTACTTTAGAGTTCTTCAGCACTACTTTTAATCATAGACTTATTCACGGGGATGTAAAGAGTCCCGAGTTACTGGCTCGCTTAAACTTCTCTGTGCCTAATATAAATAATTGCCAGGAACTATATTCCTTTCTTTAAAGCTTTGTAGATCTAACTGGTATGCATGAACCGTTTAGAGTACTGTGTAATGACTATAATAGACTATACCATGTTAATTCTAATCCCGACTTTTTGCCAATCTTAAAAGCTTTAATTGTATCTTACCTAGCTCAAAATTAGGATTAGTATTTTCTTTTGTATGTATTCTAACATAGTCGCCTAGGACAGTCACATAGCACTCTGGAAGCTATGATGGTTACTATGCAACAAAGTATGATGGAATTTAGGTCCTTCATAAAAACGACCAAGCAAATACTGGTTCAAAACCAGAACAAGTTGCTTCCAGCTAAGCTGTCCAAATAATTGATGGCAAATCTACGAATAACCATGTAGACCGCCAATGGCGTTTACCGGCACAAACTTAAAATAACACAGTTCCTGAATGAAAATCAAATTAACAGTATGCTACTGGTAGAGACACACCTCACAAGGAAATACAACTTCCAAATAAGAGGCTACACCTTCTACCCCATAGATGATATAGATAGTAAAACACTCGGCGGAACCGGCATCATACTCAGGGAAAGCATCAAACACCACTCTCATCAAAGGTTTGCTCTACTGATGCTCTTAAGGATGTACTCTTGGCAACAGCTACTATTTCACCACCACAATTGAATGACGTGCAAACCAGCCATTTCAAAACTAATCTACAATCGGAATAGCTTGGAAAGATGCGTCTTCGACGTGCTTGGCAAATACATTCGAAAACAGTCACTCCGACAGGAAACTCATCAGGTAGCTGGGTCCGCAGCGACAAAGATAGAGCCGAAACTTCCGAAGCGCTTTCCAGACGAACCCTGCCAAAAATCGAATCTAAAACTATTTCCTTACCAACATTGTTTCAGCCAAAGGAGATCGCGAAAATCATCGGAGAACACACTTGCCTACATATACTCATAAGCTACTTAAGTCGTATCTCTACAACAGTCTTCGCAGTAAGGAGCAATACAACAACATCTCGCCCGATCGGCTGGACTACGAGGTCCTGCTCTGCAACTCCACTCTCAAGGCTATCAGAAGCAACATTGACATCATACAGCACGCACAATCGAAAATCCTGAGCTATCCACCATCCACCAAATCAACCATGGTATAAGTCAACATTACTGATGGGTAACAAAGGGTCGCTAGAAATCTTGGGAGATTCTTGGATCACCCTAGTGTTTCTAGATGCCGACTCAGCACAGCCGCCTTTGGGGGCCGCGCCCGGATCCCATTGGTTCCCGCATGGAAAGTTGTGGCCATTCTGCAACCGTCAGCATTTGCCACTAAGGCGCAGTCGGCTTGCCGACCAAACTATCGTATTCATACATTTAGGTTCCTGAATTCTGTTTTACATTAACTTGAATAAAGAGACTTTGGCTCGCGAACATTACTCCGGCCATCGCCGCTACTTTATTGATATTCGCCCACTTAGCTTATGGCCAGGAGTATAGGCGGCAGTCATTCTCTCATCGTAAACTTCAATTTATATATCGACACCGAACTCCCTCAAGCGGAAGCTACATGGCCGCACAGGTAACACCTACCCCCTCGACAGCGGGCCATCTATCAGTGCCTAACCACCAGCGGCTATCCAGGAGCAGCACGGCACCGGGCCGCTGATACCTATTGCAGATAACAACGTGGGCAGCAGCCACCCAATGGCGGCCTCATCGCCCAGCGGGCCAGTGTATCAGTGCTACGCCATCAGCAGCCATCCGGGAGCGGCACGGTTATCCGGCCACTCACACCTACTAAAGTTACAACGTAAGCAGCAGCCACGTCACCCAGCGGGTCACCTAGCGGTGCCACATCACTACCGACCCATCCAGGGGTGGCACCGCCACTGGGCCACCCTGATTTACTATTACTTTTATTCGAAAAATAAAAAACTCTCAGTGCACCCAAATGATCTTGCGAGAGGTTTGACTTGAGTTTCTAGAAGAACTCCCCTACAACACAACGACCTTCCAACCCAGCAATAATTTTCCTGATCCCATAACTCAGTACCAGTCATATGACTGTTAGTTAGATTATTACTATAAGATTTGATCAGCTTATTGTTAGTATCCAAAAGGAGAAGATTCAATAAACAAATAGTAAAGCATATTACAAAAAATTTTTTAATGTCACTGAATAAGTTACTGAGGATGCTCTTTGCAGTATCGAGAGCATTTTAAGATTGAGTTGGTTCCTTTCATTCTGAGCGACTTAAACGTTCTTTTAAAATGTATTCTTTTTTTATTTTTTGAAACATTTTTCCATGTTGTAATGGTATTTTATGCATTTAAATGTTCAGATCATTGATTTATCATATTTTTTTACTATCCAACAAGGATTTTACAAATGCATTGTCTCAGCTGTTATTGTGTTTTTTTATGGGGAAGTTTTAATTGTTTATTTTTTCAGCTTACCATTGGGATGACTGAATGCCAAATAATGATGGAAACCTTGCATTAACTTCGGTTTTAAATAGGTTTACAGCTGTCATGGACTTTTGAAATGCAAAAGCTGGTTGACTCGGAGAATAATGTGAAGTAACAAAATTAACTTCCTTACAATTGATACAGATTATTTCCTTGCATCTGTTATTTAAAAAAAATATAATTTGCTGATTTGTATTTTCACCTCATTGTTTTCGTTTGTCCCTTGTAATTATTCTAATAACTTTCTCTATAGGTATTTTTAGCTTTCCCAGCCACCGAATCCGAAGCCTGGAATTTCTTCTTGACCACGTTTGGCATTTTTTGTTTTTTTATGTTATCAAAATCTTTTTATCTCATTTTAATGCTGCTTAAACACTTTCGACAAAAAAATATTTAAGTTGGTAATTTTTTGAACTGTTATATGTTCAAATAAATATATTCAACTTCTTGGAAGCTCCAATCCATATTCCAATTGTTTCGCGTCCAGATTTTATGCCCTCTTCCCACAGAGCTCCATCCACCATCCACCATCCGTTGAACGGATGGTCCATAAGGTTTTGCCGTTCCGAAAATTCCCAGTTAGTTCCCCATCCAAATTTGACGGACTTTTTTATGCGATAGTTAGGCGATGTTTTTTTGGTGCAACTCTGAGTTCTTCTTCTTGACAGTGAAAATTGGAACATTCACTACGAAAATTTAAAAAAAATAATGGCGGGTATCTTTTGAACAGGAAGGCGCCAATTCAAAAAATGCAGTTTATACTTGTAATAATTATTTAATTACTGGTCCATCCGTGTGGCAGCATTAGGTGTTGCTCCACTCTTTCCTAGGCGCATACCTTACTTACAACATTAAGCAGAACATTTAAAATTATAATAAAACAAAAAACAAACATTTATATATAATGAACTTGATTTGTTACCATTTAGACAATATTGGGCAATAGCTGTTCATATTTTGTCTGCAGGCTGGCAAAAATCTGCAGACGTATTAGTTCGTTTTGATTGTTCGCGTAGATCACTTGCAGTCTTTTACCAAGTATCATTTATAACGCTGTTGTGCTCATTTTAAATGTTGTGCAAAATGCAACGGGCTAAAATAATGAGCCACAGCTGTTCAGATCAGCTGTTATCGGATGGTGGATGGTGGATGTGCTCTGTGGGAATCGGAGTTTCACATTTGTCAAAAATCCCAACCGTTTCAGACGGATGGACTCTATGGGAAGAGGGCATTAGTGTACCATAGAGCTGGAAATAACATCGGAGATGTATCGATACATCGATGTTTTCCAAAACTTGGGAAACATAGAGGTTTTCAAACATCGATGTTCGATGTTTCCTTCCTCTTTACCCATCACTACTTGGCAAAAAAGAACCTTGGTAAGCTAAACACATTGTTAATTAATTAAGTAAAAGAAACTAAAATATACGTTAAAATTAGTATAGATTTCGACAAATATTGGTGTTGGCGGTGCTTCGAAATGGAGAAGACTTTAAAGGAGCAGAACAGCAATGGTAATAGGAGTAATAAGTTACATTCATAAGATTTGTAATGTTTTTTTGTTTAATATAGTTGTCTGTCAAGAGGAAAAATATGCGGTTCCAAATAAGCGGGCGAAATATGGGCAATCTGCTGTATGGAACTATTTTGACAAATCGGCTGATTGCAAGACAGCCAAATGTATAAAATGTGGTAAAACCTACCAAACAAGTGGCAATACGACAAACTTGTCTTGCCACTTAAAAGCCATTCATCCCACTTTAACAATAAGCGAATTGCCACAAAGACAGACGCCCTCAATTCTGTCATTCATTGACAAAAAATACGAAAAGTCGTCGCAAACAAAAATTGGACAGTGCCTTATGCTACTACATTACCTCAGACGTGCGCCCTTTTTCAGTGGTGGAAAATAAAGGCTTCCGCAATTTTGTAAGCCTCCTTGATTCAAGGTATGAATTGCCTTCACGGACCACCTTAAGAAATGTTTCGATTGTAAATGCATACGATGAAAAGAAGGACAAGTTGTCCGCCTTTTTAAAAAACGTAAAGCACTGTGCAATCACTTCAGATTGCTGGACGTCCAGAGCCAACGAGTGCTACGTTACTGTGACGTGTCATTTTATAACAGAGCATTTCGAATTGCGCAACGCTGTTTTGTCAACTGAAAAGCTCCTCGACGAAACAAGCCATTCTTCTGAAAATATTGCAAGCTCTATACGCACAGTACTCGAGGAATGGAGAGTTTTAGGAAAGGTCACTGCAATGGTCACAGATAACGCCAAAAATATGATAAAAGCATGTGAGATACTGCAAATAAGACATATTCCTTGCTTTGCGCATTCAATCAATTTGACTGTCCAGGACTGTTTGGCTACAGGAAAAGTTAAGCCCATTCTTGACAAGTGTAAGCGCATTGTTTCATTTTTTAAAAGTAGCACAATTGCGTATGCCAAGTTTAAAGAGGCCCAGGAATGCGAACGTCCTTATAGTTTAAAGCAAGAATGTCCTACAAGATGGAACAGCGCCTATTATATGGTGGAGAGAATTTTGATTAGAAAGGTTGCCATCGCAAGTGTGCTACTAAACACGCCCAAAGGGTCAATGCCGCTAACATCTGATGAAATATCTATTCTAGAGGATTTAAAGACAATACTTTCACCTTTTGAGCATGCAACAGTACACACATCTTCGAGTACTTCTGTGACAGTGTCTTCGGTGATTCCGCTTGTTTGTGGTATTTTACACAATCTTACAGCCATGAAAACTAAACTCAAGACTAAAGCCTAGTATCCAGATCGACAAACGATTACGCTAGCGTAAAAACTTTAATCTTTCCAGTGTGACCAAAAGTTTGAGAGTTCATCAGAGTTAAGCGTGCTACGGTCGAACTGTCAATCAGCTGGGTTTGTTGACAAGCAGTTAAAATTCAAATATTTGCGGGAAAGAGCCTTTAAAAGATATTATCAAATACCTTGGCAAGAAAAGTCTACCGCTGTACAAAGAAATTAAAAAACAATACAATTTAAAATTAACAGTTCTTTCTTTAATTTACTGATAATTATTTGCTAATTTAAAGTTCATAGCTGCACTTTTATTGAGTTTTTTCGTACATTCTGGACCTAAAAAACATTTTGCTCTGACAAGAGGCACCCCAGATAGTATTAATGTTATTTTGTCCTCACATGTAAACACCTGCAATCGACTTTTGTGAGTTTTTTGAGTTTTCCCCTCCATTTCTTATAATGTTCAGTGAGAAGCGCACGCCAAAAGATTAAATTATTTAATCTTTTCGCTAGGGTTCACTTTTCCGCAGACTGGCAACGCTATGGAATTTTCTGGTATTTTTTTCGTCGATCAGGAGACCGAAGTGAAAAAAAGGCCCGACGAAAAGTGAACGCCAGCTGTTTGCCTCTCGCTCTCTCTCATGACTGGCGTACGGTTTACGTCGAAGTGGATACTAGGCTTAAGGTGGGTCAAGATTTCTGCGATGACATACTTCAGGTCAATAAAAGATTGGTCCCCTATGAAAATCGTACGGTAAGGAATGACCACAATTTTAGACCATCGGTTATTTTTAATTGAATTGTGATTTAATTTTAATTTTTGTTTTGAATGAACCAGTAGTTTTAAGTTTCACTTTGAATTTTCAGAATATATAAACAAAAAAACTATGGATCTCAAATATAGCGAAATTTTTTTAATGAACTTTTACACATTGGATTTATTTGTGGTATTCGTTTATACTATCATATGGAGTAAAATCATTTATTAAAATTACACCCAAAAAAAAATTCGATACATCGATGTTTTTTTCTGAAAAACATCGAAACATCTATGTAGGTAAACATCGATGATTTTCCAGCTCTAGTGTAGCACCAAAAAACCATCGGCTCTATATGTGCGTCAAATTAGCGTCGGTGACTTAGCGTCGATGGCGGAACGGTGGAATGTGGAACACTGAGGCTGTTTTTATTTTTTGATTTTCTTGCTATTTAAGCACTTAATTGAAAACTTTTAGATGCAAAAATATTAAGAAAACAAAATCCTAACTATAAATGTAAGATTTAAACATTTTGGAGGTTTGGAAGTATTTCAAAAATGCATTTGAAAAATCGACTCCCCATACTTTGGAGAATATCTCAATTCACAGAGCGTGTGCCGAGATGCACGCTACATCAGCTTAAAGGACGTTACTTCAAGGATATAAACTTAAAATTTTATAAAAATTAAACCCACAGTTTTTGAGAAAATCGCTTTACAGTGGGCAAGCGTCTGAATCAGCCCATACAAAAAAAGGACTACAAAATTGAATTGGAAATAAAGTCCTTCACAGAGCGTGTGCCAAAATGCCGTGTATATAGGCGTATGTAGGGATGTTTTAGTAATGTTTCTGGAAAATTTGATAAAAAAATTTCCCACAGTTTTTGAGAAAATCGCATTACAGTTTGCGTAGTTTAAAGGGATATAAAAGTGCCGCCCACTCTATTACTTGAACCAATCGCTAGCCATTGCATGAACCAACTTATTTTCTGTCGTTTAAAATACCAATCGACGCTAACCTTTGAAAAATTCCTACGCCCCTTACAGAGCGTGTACCAAGTCAGGAGATATTTTAAAAAATTGATAGGCAATCGAATTAACTTTGAGGAACGTTTCAATCACTTTGAACCCACAGTTTTCTTGAAATCAATACTTTCCCATGATCACGTCACACTTGAGCCGTTCCAGACAGCAACCATCACAAAATTGTCCTGTCCATGACAGCAACCGTCAAAAAATACCAATTCGACGCTAACTTTTGAAAAATTCCTACGCCCCTCACAGAGCGTGTGCCAAATCGGGAAGTATTTCTAAAAACTGATAGGCAATCGAACTAACTTTGAGGAAAGTTTCAATCAAATTGAACCCACAGTTTTCTTGAAATCGAAACTTTCTCAAAACCACATGGATGGCCACACTTGAGCCGTTACAGACAGCAACCATCAAAAAATACCAATTCGACGCTAACTTTTGAAAAATTCCTACGCCCCTCACATAGCGTGTGCCAAATCGGGAAGTATTTCTAAAAACTGATAGGCAATCGAACTAACTTTGAGGAAAGTTTCAATCAAATTGAACCCACAGTTTTCTTGAAATCGAAACTTTCTCAAAACCACATGGATGGCCACACTTGAGCCGTTACAGACAGCAACCATCAAAAAATACCAATTCGACGCTAACTTTTGAAAAATTCCTACGCCCCTCACAGAGCGTGTGCCAAATCGGGAGATATTTCAAAAAATTGATAGGCAATCGAACTAACTTTGGGGAAAGTTTCAATCAAATCGAACCCACAGTTTCCTTGGAATTAAAATTTGTTAAGTGAAGACACTTACCACTGTGAATCATCGATAGTTATTCGATATTTAGACAATTGACGAAATGTGCGCAGCCCTCGTTTGACTTTGCGGGACTTGCAACACAACATTTTTGACTATCAATTGAAAATGAACGGCCAAAATAAAAAGAAGGATGAAAGCCAGGGAAGGAAGAAGGAGGAAGGCCCGGAAACAACACAAATATTAAAATTTGAAAGATGCTCGGTAAGAATATTATTGTATATATAAACAAAGATATTAATAATTATTATTTTTGCAGAACTTTACATTTAATTTTGGGTGCGCTCTGAAGAGGAAAGATGAAAGGTCTTCTTCAGAGAGCGAAGAAGAACATCCTAGCCCCCCCCCCGCCACCGGAAGAAGAGGGCTAAACCCCGCCAAAACGTCGAAGAGTCGGTCAAAAACTTGAGCCTGGATGATGAAGCGCCGGGCCCCAGCTCAAAATAATATTTTGTGAAAAAATTAAATAAAAATAAAATATAAATAAATACATATCTTGGAATTACTTGTTTTTATTACAGCCTCAGCTAAAAAACAATTAATATTTTGTTAAAATATACATAAATAAATACATGTTCTTGGAACTACTTCAATTGTAGAAACCGTTGTCTTATTTGGTGGGTATCGAAGCTAATTCCATAATTCCTAGAAGGCGACCTATTCCTAGAATCCAAAGTGCTCGTTCTCTCTGAAGAGCGAGGCCGCATAAAATAAACAAACTTTTTTGAAATACACCATTTTAGAGGGTATGCAAATTTATTTTTATTTTAACAATTCTTAAAATTTTTTTTTGGGATTACCTTAACATTGGTAATTTCTAGCTAGTTTAATTACAATTTTTAAAAATAAACAAACGTTTGCAAAAATATCGAAGTTTTTGAAATACATCATTTTAAAGGGTATTCAAATTTCTTATAATACTAACAATTCTTGAATTTTTTTTACCACTGTGAATCATCGATAACAAACAAAAATTGGACAGTGCCTTATGCTACTACATTACCTCAGACGTGCGCCCTTTTTCAGTGGTGGAAAATAAAGGCTTCCGCAATTTTGTAAGCCTCCTTGATTCAAGGTATGAATTGCCTTCACGGACCACCTTAAGAAATGTTTCGATTGTAAATGCATACGATGAAAAGAAGGCCAAGTTGTCCGCCTTTTTAAAAAACGTAAACCACTGTGCAATCACTTCAGATTGCTGGACGTCCAGAGCCAACGAGTGCTACGTTTTATAACAGAGGATTTCGAATTGCGCAACGGTGTTTTGTCCACTGAAAAGCTCCTCGACGAAAATATTGCAAACTCTATACGCACAGTACTCGAGGAATGGAGAGTTTTAGGAAAGGTCACTGCAATGGTCACAGATAACGCCAAAAATATGATAAAAGCCTGTGAGATACTGCAAATAAGACATATTCCTTGCTTTGCGCATTCAATCAATTTGACTGTCCAGGACTGTTTGGCTACAGGAAAAGTTAAGCCCATTCTTGACAAGTGTAAGCGCATTGTTTCATTTTTTAAAAGTAGCACAATTGCGTATGCCAAGTTTAAAGAGGCCCAGGAATGCGAACGTCCTTATAGTTTAAAGCAAGAATGTCCTACAAGATGGAACAGCGCCTATTATATGGTGGAGAGAATTTTGATTAGAAAGGTTGCCATCGCAAGTGTGCTACTAAACACGCCCAAAGGGTTAATGCCGCTAACATCTGATGAAATATCTATTCTAGAGGATTTAAAGGCAATACTTTCACCTTTTGAGCATGCAACAGTACACACATCTTCGAGTACTTCTGTGACAGTGTCTTCGGTGATTCCGGTTGTTTGTGGTATTTTACACAATCTTACAGCCATGAAAACTAAACTCAAGACTAAAGCCTAGTATCCAGATCGACAAACGATTACGCTAGCGTAAAAACTTTAATCTTTCCAGTGTGACCAAAAGTTTGAGAGTTCATCAGAGTTAAGCGTGCTACGGTCGAACTGTCAATCAGCTGGGTTTGTTGACAAGCAGTTAAAATTCAAATATTTGCGGGAAAGAGCCTTTAAAAGATATTATCAAATACCTTGGCAAGAAAAGTCTACCGCTGTACAAAGAAATTAAAAAACAATACAATTTAAAATTAACAGTTCTTTCTTTAATTTACTGATAATTATTTGCTAATTTAAAGTTCATAGCTGCACTTTTATTGAGTTTTTTCGTACATTCTGGACCTAAAAAACATTTTGCTCTGACAAGAGGCACCCCAGATAGTATTAATGTTATTTTGTCCTCACATGTAAACACCTGCAATCGACTTTTGTGAGTTTTTTGAGTTTTCCCCTCCATTTCTTATAATGTTCAGTGAGAAGCGCACGCCAAAAGATTAAATTATTTAATCTTTTCGCTAGGGTTCACTTTTCCGCAGACTGGCAACGCTATGGAATTTTCTGGTATTTTTTTCGTCGATCAGGAGACCGAAGTGAAAAAAAGGCCCGACGAAAAGTGAACGCCAGCTGTTTGCCTCTCGCTCTCTCTCATGACTGGCGTACGGTTTACGTCGAAGTGGATACTAGGCTTAAGGTGGGTCAAGATTTCTGCGATGACATACTTCAGGTCAATAAAAGATTGGTCCCCTATGAAAATCGTACGGTAAGGAATGACCACAATTTTAGACCATCGGTTATTTTTTAATTGAATTGTGATTTAATTTTAATTTTTGTTTTGAATGAACCAGTAGTTTTAAGTTTCACTTTGAATTTTCAGAATATATAAACAAAAAAACTATGGATCTCAAATATAGCGAAATTTTTTTAATGAACTTTTACACATTGGATTTATTTGTGGTATTCGTTTATACTATCATATGGAGTAAAATCATTTTTTAAAATTACAAAAATTTTTCTGAAAAACATCGAAACATCTATGTAGGTAAACATCGATGATTTTCCAGCTCTAGTGTAGCACCAAAAAACCTCGGCTCTATATGTGCGTCAAATTAGCGTCGGTGACTTAGCGTCGATGGCGGAACGGTGGAATGTGGAACACTGAGGCTGTTTTTATTTTTTGATTTTCCTGCTATTTAAGCACTTAATTGAAAACTTTTAGATGCAAAAATATTAAGAAAACAAAATCCTAACTATAAATGTAAGATTTAAACATTTTGGAGGTTTGGAAGTATTTCAAAAATGCATTTGAAAAATCGACTCCCCATACTTTGGAGAATATTTCAATTCACAGAGCGTGTGCCAAGATGCACGCTACATCAGCTTAAAGGACGTTACTTCAAGGATATAAACTTAAAATTTTATAAAAATTAAACCCACAGTTTTTGAGAAAATCGCTTTACAGTGGGCAAGCGTCTGAATCAGCCCATACAAAAAAAGGACTACAAAATTGAATTGGAAATAAAGTCCTTCACAGAGCGTGTGCCAAAATGCCGTGTATATAGGCGTATGTAGGGATGTTTTAGTAATGTTTCTGGAAAATTTGATAAAAAAATTTCCCACAGTTTTTGAGAAAATCGCATTACAGTTTGCGTAGTTTAAAGGGATATAAAAGTGCCGCCCACTCTATTACTTGAACCAATCGCTAGCCATTGCATGAACCAACTTATTTTCTGTCGTTTAAAATACCAATCGACGCTAACCTTTGAAAAATTCCTACGCCCCTTACAGAGCGTGTGCCAAGTCAGGAGATATTTTAAAAAATTGATAGGCAATCGAATTAACTTTGAGGAAAGTTTCAATCACTTTGAACCCACAGTTTTCTTGAAATCAATACTTTCCCATGATCACGTCACACTTGAGCCGTTCCAGACAGCAACCATCACAAAATTGTCCTGTCCATGACAGCAACCGTCAAAAAATACCAATTCGACGCTAACTTTTGAAAAATTCCTACGCCCCTCACAGAGCGTGTGCCAAATCGGGAAGTATTTCAAAAAACTGATAGGCAATCGAACTAACTTTGAGGAAAGTTTCAATCAATTTGAACCCACAGTTTTTTTGGAATCGAAACTTTCTCAAAAACACTTGGATGGCCACACTTGAGCCGTTACAGACAGCAACCATCAAAAAATACCAATTCGACGCTAACTTTTGAAAAATTCCTACGCCCCTCACAGAGCGTGTGCCAAATCGGGAAGTATTTCTAAAAACTGATAGGCAATCGAACTAACTTTGAGGAAAGTTTCAATCAAATTGAACCCACAGTTTTTTTGGAATCGAAACTTTCTCAAAAACACTTGGATGGCCACACTTGAGCCGTTACAGACAGCAACCATCAAAAAATACCAATTCGACGCTAACTTTTGAAAAATTCCTACGCCCCTCACAGAGCGTGTGCCAAATCGGGAGGTATTTCAAAAAATTGATAGGCAATCGAACTAACTTTGAGGAAAGTTTCAATCAAATCGAACCCACAGTTTCCTTGGAATTAAAATTTGTTAAGTGAAGACACTTACCACTGTGAATCATCGATAGTTATTCGATATTTAGACAATTGACGAAATGTGCGCAGCCCTCGTTTGACTTTGCGGGACTTGCAACACAACATTTTTGACTATCAATTGAAAATGAACGGCCAAAATAAAAAGAAGGATGAAAGCCAGGGAAGGAAGAAGGAGGAAGGCCCGGAAACAACACAAATATTAAAATTTGAAAGATGCTCGGTAAGAATATTATTGTATATATAAACAAAGATATTAATAATTATTATTTTTGCAGAACTTTACATTTAATTTTGGGTGCGCTCTGAAGAGGAAAGATGAAAGGTCTTCTTCAGAGAGCGAAGAAGAACATCCTAGCCCCCCCGCCACCGGAACAAGAGGGCTAAACCCCGCCAAAACGTCGAAGAGTCGGTCAAAAACTTGAGCCTGGATGATGAAGCGCCGGGCCCCAGCTCAAAATAATATTTTGTGAAAAAATTAAATAAAAATAAAATATAAATAAATACATATCTTGGAATTACTTGTTTTTATTACAGCCTCAGCTAAAAAACAATTATTTTGTTTAAATATACATAAATAAATACATGTTTTTGGAACTACTTGAATTGTAGAAACCGTTGTCTTATTTGGTGGGTATCGAAGCTGATTCCATAATTCCTAGAAAGCGACCTATTCCTAGAATCCAAAGTGCTCGTTCTCTCTGAAGAGCGAGACCGCAATATTAGCGATATGGTGTTGCCAGACCTTTTGAAAAACGGCATAAAATAAACAAACGTTTTTGAAATACACCATTTTAGAGGGTATGCAAATTTATTTTTATTTTAACAATTCTTAAAATTTTTTTTTGGGATTACCTTAACATTGGTAATTTCTAGCTAGTTTAATTACAATTTTTAAAAATAAACAAACGTTTGCAAAAATATCGAAGTTTTTGAAATACATAATTTTAAAGGGTATTCAAATTTCTTATAATACTAACAATTCTTGAATTTTTTTTACCACTGTGAATCATCGATAGTTATTCGATATTTAGACAGCTGGCGCAATATAGTTTTAAATTGTTCCTAATATACAATCTTCCTAATATTTATCCCACTATCACCCTGCCCTTGCTGATCATTTTAGTGTACGTTTTATCAAAATCCGTTCAGCCGTTCTCGAGATATTCTGTATTTTACACTTAATTACACAAATTCAAGTTTTTTTTGGCTCCCAGCCCTCGTTTGGCTTTGCGGGAATTGTAAATGAGTATGGCAGCGTTATTTATATTTCCCCGTTATTGAAGAAGTGTTTACATTTTGAGCAAGTGATTTAATATTAATATAAAAGTAAATGACATTTTATGGCAGTTTTTGTTAATATTGTTATTGGCATTGGCATTTCAGTGTTTCCAAGCGAGGAGTTTGAATCGTGGAAGAAGGAGCCTAAGGAGAAATTTTTGAACAAGCGGTAAGTTTTTTTTAGAAGGCTTAATTCTTCTGCTCATACTTTTACTTGTGTTTATATACAGTGGACCAAAAAAGTTTAAGTACACCACTATTAAGGGGTTATCCTTAATATCACTTCACCTTAATGACACTTCAAAAAATTAATTTTTTTCAAACTTTTTTATATAATAGTACAAAGTTTCAGGAATGTTGTCTGAAAATTTCAAGTCGATCGAAGCAAAACTGTAGGAGATATTTTGCCTACCGCAAGGACACAATTTTTTATGTGGTCAAGTTCAAGCCTGCCTCAACGGCTCAATTTTCAAAATTTTTGGTTCAAATTTTTACACAATGTTTGTCAAACCATAAACAATAATGTACAATAAATAAAATTTGTGAAAGTGTCGTAAGATCTTTAAAAAAAATTCACGAAAATAGGCTTTTTTTCCAAGACCCGGATAACCCCTTAACTAAAACAGATTTAAATTTCCAATAACATAAAAGTCTTTTTGTTTCCTTATTTTATAAATAATAAAAAAAAAATCGTAAAAATACTTCATATTCACACCTAAGATAAAATTAGCTCCTAGCTCGTTAATTTTTGGTTGGACCTCCTTTTGCAGCAATAACTGCAATCATACTATGTATAAACATTTTTGTGTCCTTTTTCTAATCACGTTACCGCCGCCATGCTTAACGGTTGGTGTTAAATTTTTAAGCTCCAACTCTGTGTTGCGTTTCCTCCATACTTTTTGGGAGCCATCTGAACCAAAAATATTAAATTTTGACTCATCACTCCAGATAACGTTGTCCCAAAATGAATCCGGCTCGTTTACATATTTGTATGCGAAATCTAGTCTCTTGTTTCGATTTGCCAAGGAAATCAATGGCTTTCTACGAGGTGTTCGTGCGTTGTACCCCTCCTTGTGGAGCACATTTCGAACAGTGAACTGTTTTGCCTGAACTTCGAAATATTTCCTCCTGTATTTTTGGTGCTGAATTTTTAGGTTTGGCCTTTATTAAGCCAAGGATTTGGCGTTCATCCCTATCGGTTAAGTTTTTGGGACGACCGGATCTTGGCTTTACTTGGAGGGTTCCAGAGTTAACGTAGGAATTAATAATAGCTTGCACGTTGGAGGGAGGCCTCTGCAGCATCCTACCAATAGCACGAGCTCCTTTTCCTTCCAAATAATGTTTTAAAATTATTTTTCGAGTTTCAAGTGAAATTTCGCTTCATCGACCCATCTTGACCTTGAACTTAAAATGCATAAAAATGCAAGCATCAGAAGTAGACTTAAGGAAGAATTCGCGATCTCCGTTAGATTTGGAAGGGGAATTCCCAAGAAACAGAGAGATGACAAGTGTACGTAAACTTTTTTGGTGTGATTTTTAGCCATTTTTTTTGGTTTTCTATGAATATACGGTGACGTAGTTAATTTTGTTATATTCGAAATCGTAAAGATTAAGTGAAGTTAAAAAAAAATATTAATTTTGATAAGTTTTAATACATATTTTTTGCCGGAGTTTGCTTAGAAGTTTATGTAGTATAGGAGTAGTTAGCCCCGGAATTCTTAAAAGTATTAATATTTTAGAATCGATTTATTGATTTTGATTTTTTTTTAGGTAATATACCGGAATTATTCCTAAAGCTATTTGTATAGCAATAGAAACTGGTCTTGTAAAACCAACAGGTTTTCTACAAGAAAAAGATTTTGAAATAATTCTCAATAATATTGAGTTAAGAGATTTTATTAGAAATGCTCTTGGTCTCGGATATAATATTATTACAATTAAGAAGTTAGAGGAATGGTTTTGCAACGTAATAACCATTCTTCTTTCTCCATTTGTAAATAGTTATGTTATAGATTCTATATCCTATTTATCAGGTGATACCTTAACCACTTTTGATTTGAGCCAGCATGAAGAGTCTGCTAAGCCAAATTTTAGAGACCGCGAGGATGCATTGAATACGATTGCAGGCCAGAGTGAATTTAAAAAACGATTCACTTTTATTGCTCTGAAAATCACCGAAATGTTATCAAAGCAAACCGATACTGTCCAAATTAACATATATCATCATCCTGAAATGGTAGATGTTATTTTGGGGAAATATATTGCTTTTGCTCCTTTTTGGACTAATGTTATGGGAATTTTTATTGACGAGAGCAATAAAAGGCCCAGCAACGGTCCAATTGAATCATTTTTTAAGACATTGAAGCACAGTGTCATTAAATCAAAGCAGGGATTAAAGTTAGGAAGGTTCATCCGAAAATTGGACGATCTTTCAAAATCCGTGGTTCGGCAAGTTGAGCTTGCGCATCCGGAATATTCTTGTTCCCCTCTTACTCATGGTAAGTTAATAAAAGCAAGGGCGAAAAAACCTGCCTTGAAAAAAAAATCTGTTTTAAAAGAAATTTCCA